CTCAAAGGAATTTTTCCTCCATATCCCTCAATATACTGATACTGATACTGATCTATTGAATTGAACTGACATGTGAAATTAAAAGCATCTGCACAAAATAAGTGATGAAGTTAGAAAGCATCCAGCGATGGCATTGATGAATTCACCTTGGACTGTCATCCTCAAAAGCCTGAAGCTAATTTATTTCTGCTACCCTACTCATAAAGAATACATTTGCTGACTCCATCCAAGCCAGGTGCCTACCAAACACACGTCTAATGTAATACTAATAATAATAAAAATAAGGCAGTATACAATAACGTTATAATGTACGTACCATCCTCCTTCGTTATTGCCAACCTATAAGCAACAACACTGATTTTCAGAAAGCCACCTGCTGGGAGAAGAAAGACGAAGAAAATTACGCCACAAAGCATCAGCGTCAAGCGCCTGAAGCGAAGGCCTTCTTTACCACAACTAAGCGTCAGCCCTATAAGTATTTCAGTGGCAATCAATGAAACAGCTTGCTCGATTAGCACGTGAACTCAATCTGTGGGAGAAACAGTAGGCCTGAGCAATGTGTGCCAAATATATAGGCTCTTCGCTCGTTGACGTTGAGGTCTTCAATGACACTGCACATACTTTGTAGATGCCGAGGATTCTCTATCTCTCTGGCTATCTTTTTGTGAAGCAGTGTTTGATACCAGTGGCCTCAACTGATGAAATGTCGACCGTTTATGCTAGCGCGAGCCGCAATTTGCTCGCGTCATGGTTCTCAGGCCCGCAGTGCATCAATAAGCGCAACCATTTGGCGTTTCCATATTGTGTACTAAAAACATTACCCGAGCAAGATAATTAGTCCGTGGGATGGACCGGGCCTAGCAACAACAACAATGACGACAACGAGCATAATTGTCACGCAATTACCAAGCCAGCAATTAATGAGTCGAACGTGAAGTGTCAAGCCACAACCGCACAAATTAAGACACAAGCGGTGGCTACCGGCGTGCATAATAACAGTACGCATACGCAGGACTGCTATGAACTAAGAATGCCGTGCGACTTGTGCATGTTTCACACCTATCTACCCATGATTCAGACTATGCTACCATTACCTGTGATTACGGATTCTTGACGGAATCCAAAAGCGTCAGGATAATGAAGGATTTGTTCCAGTGCTCACATCGCAGGGGGTTAACTAAGTTAAACCCAAGCAATTGCGATCATCAGACCATGGTTACTAAGTTGAGAAGAATTCTTGGAAACGCCAGAGAAGTAGGAACACTATATTGTGTACACAGAGGAAAGGAGAACAGATGTAAGGATATTTGACTTAGATAGCATACAACCGGCCAGGAGAGCCAGTCGAGTCCATGTGCTGGTGTGAAAGCATTTAGGCAAATAGAATGGGAGAGCGTTCGTTTCCTGGGTCGGCCTATGATATGTTGGTTGAACAGCGTGTAGGTAGAAATCAATGTGGGCGGCCGTGTCTCGCGCGCCATTAAGTCTGGCTGCTGCCACGACCTTGAGGTCTAGACGGATTGAGGTCACGACAGGAAGGCTAGG